GATCATTCAATAGCCTACTGAAAATACAAATGTCCATGCAGAAATTTAACCATCTCCTGCAAAAAGGGCCAAGAGTCACAAAGTTCGTACACAAAGACACTTTAATGCAAACCAAATAGTACTATGTTTCAGTCTGAAGTGCTCCACATCCTCAGCAGCCATTACTTCTGTTCAGAAGCCCTTTGATTCTCCTCCTGTGCAAAAAAACCCCATCCAATATATTTGGGGAAATTACTTCAGGCGTTAGTAAGGAAGAGAATTCAGGTTATGCCCCATAGTCACATAGAAGCCACAAGTTCTAGGTGCTACCGAACTAAAAACACACATAGATTTTGACATTAATATCAACCTGCAAAGTTTAGATGGGTCAGTGCAGCAGAGACTAACTTCTAGTATTGTTTTGTGGAATATGAGTCCTTTTGCCCAGATACCAGTTCAATCCCAAGAAGTTTTCTGGTGTTCCAATGCAATAACCAATATCTCATGTCTCTCTCCCCTTGACTTGCGAGTCTCTTTCCTCATCCACGTTTAATCTAATGTGTCCTTAACTCTACTGCAGATTAAAGAGCTCATCATCTTTTAGCCTCTTGATCATTCAATAGCCTACTGAAAATAGGATGACAAATGTCCATGCCGAAATTTAATCATCTCCTGCAAAAAGGGCCAAGAGTCACAAAGTTCGTACACAAAGACACTTTAATGCAAACCAAATAGTACTATGTTTCAGTCTGAAGTGCTCCACATCCTCAAACACTCAACATGGAGCTTCCCAGTTTTACCATTCCTTTGAGAAATTCACTTTTGGTCTAAACAACAGAATTAAAAAAAAGACGGCTCTTTAATGCTTCTCTTTTTTATTGAATCAATCCTGTATTTCAATACCAACTGTTACATCTTTATGAGCAACAGGAGCATATTCTGCAGATTTGTTTGTCACTATATAGTACAACCTCAAAACTCTTATCCAAACCCCCTGTATTCCAAAATTAGGTTTCCTCCCTCAAACGTGCAACATTTGAATAAAAAAGTCCTGACTTACTCCAAAAAATTCCACTGTGCAGTTATATAAACTCAGATCTCTTGACACCCACTCTGGCTTATGAAGACACGGGTTTATATAAAGGACCTTCAAAAGAAAATTAAAAGAGAATATTGTTTTGCTGAGATTTCCAGAGGATTCTAACACTCCCATCACCATAGCAGTGCACATATATAAAGACACCGTGTCCACTACATCATACTATGCAATATAGTATTTCTGAAAAGACTCTAAGTGGTCTCTGCAAAAGGCTGTGGCATGTTCTGCTGTGACTACATCAGAAACTACTATGCAGCCATTCTATTTTATTTAAGCCTTCAGAATTAGGAAAGTACCTGTGTTGAAATTATATTTATTTGAAAAAAAAAATATATATATATCTGACTTTAATAAAAAGTGCACATTCTGTAAGGGCAGATTCACCGTTTCTTCTGCTTGTTTGTTCTTCATTTCAGCTTCAATACCCAGTTTTTCATAACAAACTGCGAGGTTTGGACCACAGAAATGAAGGCTATATTTGCCCTTAATCAAAACACTGTTTTAAAGATGTTGTTTTCACATCACCAACACATTTCAAGCAGTCTCAACTATTTCAAAACCTCTTTTTTCCATCCTACAGAACTGTAACTTCCAACACTAAATAGGGCCTTTAAAAATAATCTGAAAACAATATACAAAATATTTCAAGAGAGCAGGACAGCGATATAGTTGAAACCAGCAATATGGTCATACTAAACATATCTTTCCAGTTTATATATGAGACCTCTTGACACAAAAAGACCATGCATTTTGTATGGGGTTTTAGCCCCATATTTGTAAAAGGAGAGGCAGATTTTCAGGTAGATTTCTATTTAGCTAACTGGAAAATAAATCATATTGCAAATACGGGGCTGATGCTGCCTCGATTCTCTTGCTCACATCCATGGTAAGTACCAAACTTCTTGTCCTTGCTTCTGAGGTTTATGTTTATATTCAGCGTCATTGCTGATGACTGATACATGTTAGCTGGTTTTAAAATAACTACGTTGGGAAGCTTGATAAAAACAGTGCTGAGCTCCGATTTGCTGTGGATATGCTGTTACACTTTACACAGAAATGTGTCATCTTTGCTCACAAACAGCTTCAACAGAAAGCATGGAATTGCAGGATACTGTGGTGAGGACTGTCACAATGCCTACAACAACGTAGGCATTTATGCCCGGACCAAGCAGGAACACGTCTTCAACTGATCTTCCATCAACACGTCCAGTTGAAATTCACAAGTAAATCTTATATCCACCTCTAGAGAGCATCTTGCAGGAAAGGTCAGACAGCGAGAGAGCAGGTAAAGACAAAGGTGTGGTACGTGGCATGCAGTTTCTCTGTGCATTTTAGGGCAAGGAAAGTCTCTCTGTAACTGTATGTGAAACAGTTTAAAGCCCGAGCAGAAGTTGTTCCAGCAGCCTCCTTGTGCCTTATCCACCCCAACGGACAGCTACTGCAACCTTTGAAATGACTCTGCCAGGCAGGGACACAGCATTATTTCCAGTGTATCCAGATGAAGCACCTCAGCTTGAAGCTACAAAGAAGGATTCTACCTTACCTTGGCTACTTGATGCAAAAGATAATGGTATATCAGGCAGCTGGCTGCATAACCGGGAGCTGTGTTACCAAGCTCCCTCCTCAGAGGGAAAGAAGAAGTGACTTCACATCAGACTATTACAGACACCAACACCTTTGTCAAAAGCAGAAACACACAGAGATTTTACCAAATACTGGCTAGACACCGTAGCACACTAACTGAAAGGAATAATTTGAGTACAAGCTTAATAAGGCAGGGTAAAAAACCCACCACCTTACAACTAATGACACTTTGAAAATGAGTCTGCTGTATGTGATTTCACTGATGCCTGAGGGAGACAAAGCTCTTTCTGTTCATGTTTTTCATACTTTCAGTCAAACAGATTGCTGAATAATCATGTTTTCTGTACTTTAATGGGCGAGGAAGCTATTATACAGAAGGTGTTTCCATATGTGGTAGTTAATAAAGGCAATTCTTACTAATAAGGTTGTCTCCACTCAGTTATTTGATGAAAAGCCCTCCTGTTATAAGGAAAAAGCAGATCCTGTGGCTAGAAGAGACCCCTAGGGCTGCACGCTTCAACGGCTACTGGGAAGAGGTGTGAGCAGATGAATCCCAGGTCTTCTCCAACTGAGTCCAAAACTGTGACATTCACTAGGGTGCTCAGGGTACTAGGAGCACTCCATGTCATAATCGCTCCTTCATATTCACCCTTTTCTTGCTGGTGAAGGACAGTGGACAAGACCTGGATCCATCACTCCGGAAAATCACCATCAAGTCCCTTCAGGAGGTCAAGGTGCTTTCTTTTTTGAAGAAGCATCTGGGTTACTGTCTCAAACGCTCAAAATCCTACACAGAGAGTATGGCTTGTTTTAGGCTGAGATCACAGATGCTCTTCCAAGTGGAAACCATAAATCACATGGCAAAGGGGAGGTGGAATCACCCCCAGGTCTGAGACACCACTTACATCTTTGTCTTTCTAACCACAGAGCCAAGTGAACATCCACAACTGGATGAAATCCTCACATCTATCCTATCTGTGAGGGATACCTAGTAAGGACAGAAGGGAAAAAAAGTCTTGAAGCTCATCTCAGCTTACTATGACGTGGTCAGTGTTTGACCAGCTCTTAAAAAGCCACATGGAAACCAAGCCTATTGAAGGATACAACTTGCCTCAGACCATCAACATATCCCAGCTAGGCTCGCACAGCAGTGCTACACACTGGTTGCCTCTGAATGTCAAAGTAGGGCAGAGATTGTTCACCTGTAAGTACCTGAGTAGAAAAAAGACCTGCCTCTGTTGCCATTCCCACTTTCAGGAGGACTGACAGTTTCCTACAAGCAGTTTCAAAAGGCACATCATCTCTCCATGGTAAGTATCCACCTGTAGCCTTACAATTATGACTTTCGAAGTATTATGCAAGACATCTTTTTATCCAGGCATATCAAAAATGTAGAAATTATTTTGTGGAGAGACATTTCTAATAGGAAATACTCTTATTTCTTCATGTTTTCCTGGGATTGCGTTCTGCTGGTTTTCACTATTCAGAATAGGCTTCAAGAAATGCAAAAAGATACAAGGACTAGGTGGATGCTTGCAAATATACAGACAATAGGACCAGTTCCTACACATGCAACTAGTCGAGCTGGATGTTCACTGCCACATGTAATACTTTGCAGGATTTGAACCAAAGCATTTTGAAATCTGGCCACTAATTATGGGCACTTCCTAATTCAATCTAAGTTTCAGAACTGCTGAACAACTCCTTGTCCTCGTTTCAGGTTCTGGATGCTCAGCAGTTCAGAAAATCAAATCCAAAGTGACTCAAGCCAATACTGAAAAATATGAACACCCAAAGTTTGCAGCTGGTTTTGAAAACACAAATCCCTCAAGACTAAATGCTGCTTTAAAGACACTGCAATAGTTTCAAAAGCTGCATATTTTTGTATCAAACCACTCAAAGGCATAGACAAATGTGGTGGGTGGACTCTGCATCCATACTCCTTCAGTGTGGTCAGTGCAAACAACCCCTCCCTGACCAGCCAATACTGATGACTGGGAATGGAGGAAATAGAAGGACAATCCAGGACAGGCCTGCACAGTGAACCAGAAGTAGCCCTTGCAGAGACAAGGGGAAACAAGGGCTGCTGTTGGATCCTGCCCAGAACACAGAACCCCACCACAATCTGTCCATACAGTCTTGAAGATGTGGAAGGTCCTGTTGTATCTGCCTTCACAATTAAACATGAGTCTGACGTGATTATGGTGCTGATGCTGTTACATCTTCAGTGTGTGATGGTTCCTGGCTCTGTTCGTGCCTGCCTATTGTTCATGAGAGTCTTTGTCTTTGCAATGATTGGAGAACAAGGTGTTCTGGAAGCTCTTTTCAGCTGTGACCTGGTGAACTTCTTACGGATTTTTCTGTAAGGAGGGAAAGAGGAAAAGAAGAGAGAAACAACAGAAGAGATAAATCTCAGTCTTTAACAGAAAACTGCTCAAGAGCTAGTAACAAACATAAATACTCTTACCAGAGCAGGAAGTCTAGTTCATGGAAAAGGGACTTGAAGTCAACGAGAATGAGCCCTGTCCATCAACTGATGGTTCACAGGTGTCTCCAACTAGTAACTGATAATTGCTCAGTGAAAAGCGAGTTGGTGTCAGGCAATATTTGGACAATAAGATTTAATTATATGAAATCATGGGCCAGAATACTCAAATAATGAATCCTCACATGCGATATCAATACAGAAATGAAGGACCACAGAAGAACCTCACTAGCACCCAAGTGGCTGTTACCTCTGTAGAAGATGGACTGGGAGCAATGCTTATTCACACTCTATCAATTCTGCAGTTTATGTATGACTTGAATCTCTGGGCTTTTTGTACTAGTGCCTTTCAGGCACAGTAAATTCACTTCAATTTTAGACTTCTAGATGATAAATGAAACATTAACTACAGGCAGCCATGTTGTTTGTATTGTAATCTTACACATCCAAGGATAGTTAATCCTGAATTTAAAAGCTTTGTTATGTTCCAACTGCTGTTTCTCTACTATTATAAATCAGTAATCACAATCTAGGGTAGGGTATCAGAAAACACCAAAATGACACACAGGGACTATGTCAAGAACCATCTCCATCGGCAGACTCCCGAACATTAGACGTCACTGGAAAATGGCCTATTTTCTGAATTCACTCAAGTCATGAATCCCAGCTTTCATTTTGGTAGTTTTATAAATTACAGAGATTTTGAGCTTATCGGAAAAGAATTAAGGCAAACCAGGACCTCCAACACTAAATGAGACCAGGCTTTCTAACTCAAACTTTCCTAGTTGACAACCGTGACCTGACTACAAACTACAGGGTGATAATGTGGCTGCCTGCATCGAGGCTCTGAGATGGTAACTTAAGAAGTGCTTTGTCCCTTTCATCTTAATGGGCTGTTAACTCTGAAACTGAAAAATGGTGGCACATGGCATTGAAAATACAGGATCAGCTCAAAATTGATTCTCTTGAAGAATAAAATAACGTGTATTAAATTGCAAACACCTATTTTGTTACTGGTTGAATATTCCCCAGGCATGTAAGCTTCTAGTTAAACAACAGGGCCACAGAAGAGAACATAATCCAAGACAAACCAAAAAGTCAAAACCCAGGAGAATATACTGTCTGTGCTCTTAAAGGTAAAAGGCAGCCTGTATTTTGGTTAATAGATTTAAAAGATGCAGAGAAATACTCATTTTAGCTGGCTGCAAGAACGATGTCATTGGCATCTCATGGCCTGGGATACCAAATGATTTAGCATCATTCAGTAATAAGTACAACAGAAGAAAATTAAAGGAATCACCAGAAAGTTCAAGCTTTTCATACAACCCCACAGAGACCCAAACTTACTGAGTGCTTACTTTACAAGGTTATTTTAAATAAGGCATAAGAAGGTATTAAACTGATTGACAAGATATTGTATACCCTCTAGAATGGTAAGATGATAGAAATGGAACCTAAGGATGGTAAAAACATCTATTTCTAAAATACTGACACAGGTAGGCTTTATAAAGTCATATGAACAGACAGGAGCCATTACCCACACTGATTATTTATGACAATCATTCCAGCAAAAGCTTACAAAACGGGATCCCTTTTGATATTTTTCATGGCAAAACTTGGTATTTATTCCCAGAACGAACGTGGTCATTGCTCACTTGAGAGGCCCAGGGTCTACAGAACTATCAGATAGTTGTTCGCCCTTCTGAATTTTTAATATAGCTGTTTCATAAACTGCCAAGAGTTTCCTACTAATGAAAGCAGTTTGCAGCTGACCCCAAGTGTAAGGACAGCAAAGTCTTTGTGATCACAATCTGCGATTATTTCGTACAGACAGTAAAACCAAAAGATGTAGTTATTCTCATGAAATACTGGTTCAAAACTAGCATGAAGAAGGCAGAACAAAAAAGGGGGGTCATCACATTATTCCATTCAGCAAACCACAAAAAGAGTTAATTCCTCACTTAGTATAAATGAAAGTAGCTCTATATAGACTGTATGAGGAACTAATCTGCTATGCACTCTAAAAAGACAATCCAGCACTTCTATTTAAAAAGGATTGTGAAAATGCTTCAGAAATTCACTTTCTGGGATACAGCCTTTCAGAACTACTGGAAGGATGGAAATTTCCACTGACTTCATTAAATGCAATATTTAAACAACCATTTCGCTAAAAGCTGAAACTGTTCTTTTCACTGCAAAAACCATATAGAAGGTGGAGGGAATGGATTCTTTACACTGAAGAACTTAGCAACTAAATACAGTCAAGCTGTATTTAGCTGGGAGGTACCGATCAGGTCTTATAAAGCTTCAGAGGGCTTTTTTTAACACTTAAACACGCAGGTCGTAATAGTAGCTGATGAAAGGCAGGAAATTCAAAGATAAGGTTGTCGTCGCCCTTTCACTCATAGCATTTCTCCTCCCTCCCCCAGCCACAGTGAATTAAGGGCAGAGTCACCTTTAATGTTCAATTTCCTGTCCCTTTCTTGGTTAATACCAGCCATATGTCTTAATTACAGCAAGCTTTTATTCAGTACTGGCAAGTAAATGGCTTTAATATCTGTAGCGTAAGCAACATCCTTTTGCAGTTAATAGGAAAGAGTAATTGCCATTTCCCCCTGCTTTTTCTTTGACTTCTGTACTAGTGCTGGAAGTCTGATGCTTACAGACTTCACTTGAAATGCGAATTAAAAAGTATTTTAAAGTATTTCTAGCTCTCCTGAGACCAAAGGTATGAGCATGAATCAAACTTATAGGAGGTGATTGGTATATAAAGCCCACAGTGCTCATTTTTATGTCAAATGTGATGCACTGCTGCTAAAGTAGGAATAAGACAAATTCTTTATGTCTGCATGATACTTCAAACAGCAACTGTGGATAAAGGTATGCAAGGCCCCAGGCACCTATTCAGGGAAATATGGAAATGTGCATAAGCACCACGTATTATTAAGACCTATCTTTTCTTTGCAGGTTTCCTACACAGACAGGAACCTACTGGGTAGAACTAATAGTTAGGTTGTACAGGGCTTTCCTGCCATGCTTAAATTTAATCAGGCAAACCACTTCAATTCACCAACCCTTTCTCAGGATCCAACTGACCTCCATGTAGCTAATCATGTGGTAAAGTTAAGCACAAGCCTATCTAATCTGTTATGTCCGGATTTCTCAGGAATAGGATAGCTGGCAACACAGTTTCTCACTTGTAAAGCTGGCTCAAAGTTCCCATGCCAAACATTAAAACAGCAGTGATTGATTTTTAAGCTTGAATAAAATAAAGAAAGGGACCTTTAGCTGATGTTAGTCAAGAATGTGTTTTTCAAGCCTTTTCTAATAGGAGTTAAAGGCATTACTTGCTTTAGCTCTCCTGATACCGGGCATATCTGTCTGTTACTGCTTCTATATATAAATTGTTATGCATCAGTCTTACCTCCTCTGCATTAGACTCAGAGTTGTGATGACTACAGTGACTTTGGTCTGTTCAGCTACACCAACAGTACTTCAGAAGTAATTCAAAATACATTCAAGTTACAGCAGAAGGTTTTACTGTGAGAAAAACTAAATGCACGCAAAGGCCCACTGACATTTTAGCAGATATCAAACCTTGTTCTGAAAGAAACAAACATTTCCCTGTGAAGGGGAATCACCCCCAACACACACTTACTTTTTGGGGTGAAGTATTCCGGTACAACTTGCCAATTGTAAACAACACTTAAATGTGCCAAGTGCAGTTTTAGTCACTAAAGCAAGGCAGGATTTTGCATTCTGGCACCAGTTCTATGTGAAACTTGCAATCGGTCTCACCGTCAAGACATCCAGAGAGCAAAACTACAGCAAAAAGGAAGCCTTCGAGACAAAGGTTCCTGAAGTTTCCAGAGCATTGGGGTAATGCAAATTCTGTGCAATGTGAATTTCCAGGGCAAGCTCAAGGCCAGTCAGCAAAAAAACCAACCACCATTCCCTGGGTGTTTTGAGACCCAATGATCACTCGTTTCTCTGTGGGCTTCCTGTAGGCAGAGGTACACTGCAACTATTCAGTGAGTTAAATTACAAGAGGGGCGCTATCTTAGGATGCTGATGGGATTCTATTCATTTCAGTGGGCTTTTAAACAAAGTGGAAGGCCAAAATGTGTGCAGTGCTGCCTGCTCAGAAAGAACTGAACTGGGATGAAGCTGCAAGCACAGGTCCTTAAAAACCTGACGGGTTGGTTACAGAGAGACTGGTTGACTCACAGCACTTCCTACATTTCTACCTGTGTGGAAAGGAGAAGTATTTATTTAACTATTTGGTTTGCCTTTTTTTAATCCCCCTCAGCACTTTGAGGCTAAAGTATATCCATACCCCATTAAAGTTTCCATCTAACCTCAAAGTGACAGAAACTGGGAGAAATATATCTGAAAGGCAGAAGGGGGTTGACACTGATACACCTTTCAAATATAAGCACCTTTGTGAAATATTCATTTCTAAACCAAATCAGAAGTGGTTTAATGAACATCAGGCTACTGGAAAGCAGTTGCCATGGGCCACTTAGCTGCATTACAGAACTCATACAGATGGCAGACAGAGCAGTACAATCTTCGTAAGCTTAAAGAGGTGCTGCTGTAGACATGCCAACACCATTTAAATGTTTTAAGAGCTTGTCTTATTTTTCTCCTCCTAGCAAGGGAATATTTTCCTTTGCTGGTGTTTATCTTCCAATTTGGTATTGATATTTAGGGAGCAAAACTGTTCTCTATGAAGAACAATTTATAGAAACACCAGTTACAAATTACTGTGTCAGATCTTCCTAAACAGCTTATATAGCATTTTCAAGCATTGCACCACCTCGAGGACATCTCTGATGGTTTGTGTTTCAGAGCAACAGGTTACAGCTACTATGT